CAAGAAGATTTTCGGTGTTGAAAGAAAAGTATAGATATTTCTCATGACGCGATGAATGATCGGAAGAGGTGAATTAGCATGAAAGGTCATTTCGACCTTCTTTTCCATATGGTGTGAGGTTGGAAAGAAGTTGTCCATGAGTGTATGAGGTCCAAACACTCATCCAAGCTTCTATGATATTATGGTTGACAAAGTCTTATTTTGGTCGAGTGCAAGTCAACGTGAATAAGATAATATCTATCTCTTGGAGACTCTAATGTATTCCATGGTTAAGAAATAAGACATGAGACATGATTGATTAGTATGTGAGACTTTCGTGTTTCATGAATATCGGAGATTTAGATATTAAGAGTTTAACCATGAAAAAAAAGTTCAACTAATGATAAAGATGTAATAGTTAAATGATTCACTAACATCGGAGATTTTGTTGACCAATCAATTATTATAAATAGAGTTTCAATTTATTCATTAATAATATCGTATAGATCCATATTTTCCTACGACGACAAAAGTAGTTGCAGCTTTCATATGTCACTTCTTTAAATGTCGACATCGATTTTGATTATATATTATATTTATCAATGTTATAGAGCTAACCTCCTTCCGGATTACCTTTGTCACAAGTTTAGTTTATTAAAATAACATTTATATTTTTCAGAGAGTACTTAAAATTTCGATCCAATTTTTCGATCTTATATCTCATGCTAGTCATTAAGGCCCAGCAACCTAATAATCTTTGGTAAGAATGCTTTGAAACCGTATATAGGAAAGATTAGTAGGTTACATAGCCATAAGATATAGATCGAATCGGTGAAAATATCATATGATAAACGATGAAAAATAAAAATAAATGAGTTAACATGACTCAAATTATCACATAAACATCGTTATTACGTACACAAGAAGAAGAAAAATCAAAATAAAAAATTAAATCGTAGAAAAACTTTATTTATTAACAACACCATCACGACTTCCTTAGAAAAAAAATCCAAAATTTGCCAAATAAAACAAAATTGTCCGCTGTCAATCAAAGTTGACCATGGTTGACCAGTCAACTTCCTCTTCATCCTACTCCGCAGGTGCTGCAATGAGCACGATGACCGGCCGGCGACGGAGATCGATCGGTGACCGGACTTTACGCCGGAGAAGAACTTGGTCGGATTTGGGTTCCTTCCTCAACCTTCACCTCGCTTCTTCTCTCCTTCGCTTCCCTCGCTGTTGTTCCCCAAAGCTCAATTTATAGGAGCAAGGGAAGGTGGAGGGCTCGCCGCCTGTGAGCGGAGAGGTGCGACCGCACGTGGGCGGTTGCGGCGGACGACTTCGGCGACTGTGGCTGCGGCAGGAGGTGCGGGCCCACGGGGAGGCGGCGATGAAGACTGCGGGCTGCGGCCGCGGCGAGGAACGCAGGAGGGGCCGGTGAGAAGTTGACTTCGGTCAACATCCCTGGTTGGGTTGATTCGGTTCGAGCCAAATCCGACTCAATCTTTAGTACCCGAATGATTGGCATAAGAAGTTTAATACTCATAAAAATATTTTGGAAAAGTTTGCTTGGTTGAACATAAATTTTAATTTTTAAAAAATAATTATTTTTCTTATAAAAAGAATTCCTAAAAAATTAAGAATAAATTATAGAAAGAGTCCAAAATTATATAATCTCATCTTAAAAAAATGATAAAAAAAAAGTGACTTACACTTGAATGAGTGATGGACTACCAAATATCAAGAGCATATATGTCCACAATAATGGTCACAATTATATTTTGTAATCATACTATGTGTATCTTTATCTAATTGAGCATACTAACATACTTGAATTTCTTTTTTTTTTCTTATTTTCTAAGAAAAATAACCGGAAACAAAACAATCTCAACAAATGCCAACTATATTTACTATCTCATTAGCAATATGTGAGAGTTGGGTGTTTATGAATGTTGGAGATTCAGATGTGAAGAGCTTTAACTGTGAAACAACCGGAAATCCTCGTGACTTGTGCGCACACCGCATGTGGAATCGATCATGTGGCTAAGATGCACTTAATCAAAGTCAAGGGCACTTAATTGTGATGTGAGGGTTGGATGATTCATATAAGGTGGCCCTAATTTCCATCATTGACCAGTTCATTTGCGAGTGCAACACTTGAGACTCGTCAAACTTACCTCGATATTTTAATAGAGTAAACAAATATGATATATACACTGATTTTATTGTCTATTTATATTTTAAAGTGACTTTTGGAGTTTGTGAAGTCAAATATGATTGATACATTTTTAGGTTGATTTT